GATAGTGGAAGGTGTCCCTGCCCATGGCAGGGCTCCAAATGAGATGAACTTTAAGGTCCTTTCCAACACAAACCATTCCATGATTCTATGATTTGGTGTTTTTCCTGCCCTTACAGCTGGGGAACCGCTGAAACTGAATTTCCCAAGATAGGACACCAGGAGGAGCTCCAGGGTAGATAAATCTGGTTTATTTTATTTATCCCATGGCCTGGAGTGGTAGGATGTGGCCGTCTACCTCCCCTGGGTGCTAGTGGCCACCTCGGTCTATCCTTGGAAATTGGGAGAGGGGCCTTTGGTGACATGGGAAAAACAAACAACTCCCACAGGCAGAGAGGTTTGTGGGGATCAGCTGGATCTGACCAACAGCCTGAATCTGGGATACCACCAGAGAGATCATCCAGTTCCTGGATGCTCAGCCACATGGACATCTGCTGTATTTTTATATATATAATAAAAAATATATATTATAAAAATAAATTTCAGTTTTGGACCCTTCACGACAAGAAAGACATTGAGGGGCTGGAGCGTGTTCAGGGAAGGGAATGATGCTGGGGAAGGGGCTGGAGCACCAGGAGCAGCTGAGGGAGGTGGGGGGGTCTCAGCCTGAAGAAAAGAAGGCTCAGGGGGGACCTTCTCCCTCTCTGCAACTCCTTGACAGGAGGGGGGAGCCAGATGGGGGTTAGTCTTCTCCCAGGGAACAAGGTAACACTTGTTATAATATTTATATAATATTATTTGCTATTATATTAAATTTACAGGCTTTGTTCTTACTGATGCGAAAAAACCCTAAAAATTCCATAATGGATGAAAATGATGATGGGGTGTGTGACATTTTAAAAGAAAAGCAAGGAGAGAATAGAACGGAGGTTGTAATTCTCAGAAACCTGGCTTGAGTAATATCAGGAGCTCAATAGGGAAGATCCCATGGGAAGTGTGCAGCCTTTCTTGAGTGACATCATGCTCGTTTTGATATTAAAGATCACAGGTAAGAAAAGTAACAGTTCAGGGAATCCAACAAAAACAACCAAAGAGTTTGGTCATGTGTGTTCCTTGTCACCTCCTTTCAAGTTGTGTCCCTAATAATTTCCCTGGTCTCATCCCTGCTGCATGGGATGGAGAAGAGGAGCTACAGCTCTGGCCCTGACCCTTCTTTTGACCTGACACAAAGCCTGCCCATTGCTACCCTCATGCCTCACCCACCAACCAGCCCATCTGTCCTGCCATGGGCTTGGTCCAGCACCCAGGACTTCCCTGGCACCTTATTTTATATAATCCTAGAATGATTTGTGTTGGAAAGGACGTTAAAGCTCATTTAGTCTAACTGTCCCTGTCCAATGGGCAGGGACACCTTCCACTATCCAAGCCCTGTCCAACCTGGCCTGGAACACTTCCAGGGATGGGGCAGCCACAGCTTCTCTGGGCAACTTTTGTCAGGGCCTCCCCACCCTCACAGACAAGAATTTCTTCCTAATATCTAACCTAACCCTTCCCTCTGGCAGGAAGGGAAGCCTTTCTGCCTTGTCCTGTCCCTCCAAACCCTTGTTGAAAGTCTCTCTTCAACTTTCTTGGAGCCCTTTTAAGCACTGGATGGGACTCTAAGGTCTCCCTGGAGCCTTCTCCAGGCTGAACAACCCTAGATCTCCCACCCTGTCTCCATAGCAGAGGTGCTCCAGCCCTTAGAACATCTTCATGGGCCTTGTCACATTGTACCTTAGTATTGTATTTCTCAAACCCTTAGTCCACCTCCTCTCTGCAGGGTTATTGATTCTAGAAATCAACCCTGCTATTTATCTCTCTGCTGCAGGACAGGTGAACACAGACTGTAGGGATTAGGAGTGAATTCCCCGCACCAGCACCATCAGCATCATGTAAGCCCTGCCTCCCACTCATCCCACAGCTCTGACCAAAGCATGATGAAGGCTCAGGGGGTGACAGCCGAACATGAGGTTTGTCCTTGACCTGTGGAGGGAGCCCAGAGGTGCCACTGGTCCCCTCTGAGGTCCCACAGCTCTAACACAGAGCTGTGGTCACTGTTGTGCTGGAGCAACATTCCCATGCAGGGGTTTCCACTGGTGGTACCTGTGGCACACCTGGCAGCCCCATTTCCCCTCAAATTTTGGTATTTTCCGTTCACATCTCTTGGCTCTGGTCTGCACTTGGCCATGAATCTTGCTGGTGTGATAAAGCCCTGTGAGCAAACCCTGCCCAGAGTAACTCCTGCGTGGATGTGATCGGTCAGAGCTCTAAACCAGAAGGTAATCTTGTGGTGTCACATGTCAGAAGGGTAAAATCTGGGGTGGCCAGAGAGGCAGGAGCAAGCTGCTGGAGGTACAAGCCCTGCCCTGTGCTGTATCCACCTCACCCTGAAATATTCATTCAATCCTGACATCCAGAGCTTTCAGAGGCTGCAATCCCAACCCTTTGCTGCTGCAGGCTACGGAAGGTCCTCTGAGCAACCTGATCTGGTGAAAGATGTCCCTGCCCCTGGCAGAGACTTGGAATGAGGTGAGCTTTAAGGTCCCTTCCAACCTAAACTATTCTGTGATTCTGTAGTCCAAGCCCAACCTGAAATGAGGCATTTCTTATGCCTGAAGTGCTGTGAAAACTCGAACCTGCGTGTAACAAATCCTGCAGTGCAAATAGTGGGGTTTCCTTATAGTAACTCAAGAGTAGAAGAATTCTTTTAAGTGAAATTAAAATTTTATGGTTTATTTCCAAGTCCCAATCCCTGCTCCAAGGCTGCGATGTGTGGGAGTGAACAGCTTTTTGAGGTAACTATATATTCCTAATTTAAGGAAAAAATTCTTCCCTGTGGGGTGGGTGAGGCCCTTGCACAGGTTGCCCAGAGAAGCTGTGGCTGCCCCATCCCTGGAAGTCTTCCAGGGCAGGTTGGATGGGTCTTGGAGCAACCTGGGATAGTGGAAGGTGTCCCTGCCCATGGCAGGGGGTGGAACAAGATGAGCTTTAAGGTCCCTTCCAGCCCAGACCATTCTGTGATTCCATGAATACGAGTATTTTTCCTCCCTTCTAATGATTCGTGTTCGGTGACCCCTTTCAATCAAATTTTCAGTGAACTTCAGTGAAAGACAAGTTCAATCACAGGAAATTTCGTGTCAAAGAGGGAATCCCTGCTGAATTTACAGGCTGCTGAAGGCACAAGTTGTGAGTGGAAAGTGGTGATGGGGGCTCATAACGTGGTGTTTGGCGTGACGACGTCATTGCTTCATCACAGGTAACAGTTTCCACTTAACCCTGTTCCTGCACAATCCAACCCATTTTTCATGGCAATGCCCTTTCCTTTCACGACGAGCATTCGGGGGAAAAAAAGGAGGTCAGATTCTGGGTTAAAAAAGGCGGATTTCTGGTAATTCTCCCCTCTTTTGGTCTTCGATGCTCAGTGTCGCATCTCAGTAGATGCGCTGGTGGATACATAGAACAGTCAGAATAGGAACATGTGTCACAGGATTTGTATTACTTCAGGTAAACATAGTAACCTGAAATGTGAAAAATTTATGTGAGAGGAGTCTCCGGTCTCTGAGCCGAGAGTTGATTCAGACCACAAAATCATGACAACATCCTGCAGTGATGTAAAGCATCAGTTGATGGAGATTTCTGCTGGTATTATTCAGACCAGACTAGTCCCTTCTCACTGGAAAATTACACAGAGTTGTAAGAGGATTCTGATTTTCTGTAGGACCAAAAATGTAATGAATCTGTTGATTTCCTGGAGGACTGAAAATGAATTGGGGTGAAGAGTCCTACACTTCAGTCCTCTGCTTCTAGCTGGGCTACATGGCTTTGGGAAACATTTCTCTTAGGGCTTTTCTCTGCAGAGACTTCTCAGATCATCAAGTTCAGCCTTTGACCAATTCCCACCTTGTCAACCACACCAGAGCACTGAGTGCCACGTCCAGTCTTTCCTTGAACACCTCCAGGGATGGGGACTCCACCACTTCCCTGGGAAGCCCATTCCAATGTCTAATTACCCTTTTTGAGAAGAAATTCTTGCGAACGCACAACCTAAACTTCCCCTGGCATAGCTTGAGACTATGTCCTCTTGTCCTGTCACATATTGCCTGGGAGCAGAGCCTGACCCGCACCTGGCTACACTCTCCTGTCAGGGAGTTGCAGAGAGGGAGAAGGTCCCCCCTGAGCCTCCTTTTCTCCAGGCTGAGCCCCTCTAGCTCCCTCAGCTGCCCCTGGTGCTCCAGCCCCTTCCCCAGCTCCGTTCCCCACCATGAATGTCCAAGGAGTCCATCCAGGAGAAATGCTGCTCCAAGGTCCACCCAGTTGGCAAGGCCAGAGAAGGGACAGGAAAGCAGCACTGTGACAGCATAGCTCAGGCAGGCAGTGGGAGTCAAAGCTGATCTGGAATGGGGGCCCTGCTGATGGTGGTTGAGGCCATCAGGGGTGATCAGTGCCCTCAGAGCCCTTACAGGGCCTTTCAAAGAGAGCAGAGCTTTTTGTGGAGCTCTCCAGAGCATGTCAACACGGAACCTCAGCAGTGAAAGGGAGACACATCCCAGGTCCTGACACTCTGAGGTCTCCCAGGAGGAATTCTCTGTGGCTTCTATTCTTTCCCTGCCCCATCCTTGCAAGACAGAGGGAACCCCAAGACCAGGTGAGGATGAATTGTGCAGCTGGGGCCAAGGGAGGTTAAATGGTGAAGTCCCACGTGCTGTCCTCATTTTGAAAGCCTTGCTGGGTGCCTGGCTTTGCAGCTTGCTCATCTCTGCCGTCTGGTTTGTGTGAGGCACGTGGAAGTGCATCCACACATGTGTTTGTGGTGAAAGAACATTATTATTAGAAAGAGGGGGTGGGAGGCAGTAAAAAATGCTGCCTGAACAATTTTGTTTTGCTCTTTTTCTTTCCTTATCTCTTTATCTGCCTGAAGAAATAGTATTGACTAATTTGGGATTCTGGTGATAGTGTCTGCCCTCCCCTTTTTGGGGGTAGATGGAAGGAAGTGGGCTAGGAAATGAAATATTCAGCTCTTAACCTCAGGTCAGGTAAGGCAACTGTGCTGCAATGGAAAGGGTGGTAGTGGCTGAACTTTGCTATAAAAAGGAGATCACAACTGTCTTTGAGACACAAGCAGGTGGAAGGGGCCTCAGAGGAGAACTCTTGTGCCTTGTCACCCTGTGTACCCGCCCAAAGCAGCAGAGAGGTTGCCATGGCTTTTTCCAGCTACACTGCTGTGGTAAGTACTTACATTTAATATAAGGGTTAAGAAATATTTTCTGCAAGAGGGAAAGCAGAGTACAAGTCCTGTGATTTCTACAAGAAACCCTTTTGGTCCTGGTGGGAGCTGAATGGGATGCTGATTCCGTCTGATGCAGCTGTGTTTGATGTTTGAGTGACAAGGATGTGATGGACTATTTATGATTTATTTATCTCTTAGTTATCAGGACTTGGGGGAGACAGTCCTTTCCTCAGATAACATGCGATAAAAATTGCTGAAATTTCAGTGAATGTCTATGAATTTAAATTTCAACCTGGGTAGCATTTGCAGCACAATCAGCTCCTGTGATTTCCTTAAAACCTCTTCATTTATTTTGTCTTCTTTTTGGGAGTTGGATTTGATGATCCTTGTGGGTCCCTTCCAACTCAGGATATTCTATGACTCTGTGAGTCACTAAAGCTCTCTCTACTGGACATGACCTGAGAATCTCAGATTTCCTTGGGAAAAGGGTTATTTCCAGCAGATGAGGGTGGCCAGTCTTTACTGTCCTGAGAAACTGGATTTCTTGCTGGATTTCTAAGGCACAGGGTCAGCTCAGTTCTTACTCTCCTTTGTAGATCATAAGACAGTGTTGTGTGACTGTGGAGGAGGACCTTTTGCAGTTTGTTTGAGGGATGCTCTTCTTGGTGCAAAGCCAACTATGAATCAGAATTTAAATCAGATTTAAGCGCCTGTTCTGATGAGTTTTATTTGCGGTGTTGTGCTGTTTGTTCATGCTGGCCCATCTCACCCAAATATAAGTATGAAGATAGTCCATTGATGGTCCAGTCAAGTCAAGACTTGACTTTTTCTGCTCTCCCTTTCTTGCCTGGACAGAACTAAGACAACTTTCCTCTCTCTCAGTTCAGATCACTGGTTTTGGTGCTTGTTCTAGCACTCACTGTAAGTTCCAGAAAGGCCAGTGCCTCTGTGAGGCTGAGTGAAGATTGCCTGAACCAAAAGGATCTCAAATTCCCCACAGCAGTGGAAGTCAACATTCGTATCAGCAAGTCACATCATGCCTTTAGGATGGTCCATGATATCAGGAACCGATCTCTCGCTCCTTGGGATTACAGGTAAACTGTTTACTTGTTATCTAAATTGTGATGTCTGTGTACAAAGAGGATTTTTTTGGGGTAAACGATGGCTGTTTCTCAGCATATGCCCAGAGTCCTGTAAATATTGCAAACACTTCTTGACATATGCTGATTTTTCTCCAAGACCAACTGAAGTGCAAAGGGACTTCACTGGAAAGGTTTCTAATCATCTTGTCAGCCTGTGTCAATCACAGAACCCTTTAGGTTGGAAAATACCTCTAAGATCATCAAGTCCAACCATTCCCCCAGCACTGCCAGAGCCACCACTAAACCATGTCCCCAAGTATCACATCTATAGAGCTTTTAAACCCCTTCAGGGATGGTGATTCCAGAACTGCTCTGGGCAGCTGTGCCAGGGCTGGTCAACCCTTTTGGGGAAGAAATTTTTCCTTATATCCAATCTAAACCGCTCCTGGCATCACTTGAGGCCTTTTCCTCTTGTCACGTGTTCCTTGGGAGCAGAGCCCGATCTCTACCTGGCTCCACCCTCCTGTCGGAGAGTCAGAGAGATAGAGAAGGTCCCCCCTGAGCCTCCTTTTATCCAGGCTGAGCCCCCACCAGCTCCCTCAGCTGCTCCTGGTGCTCCAGCCCCTTCCCCAGCTCCGCTCCCTTCCCTGGACACACTCCAGCCCCTCAACGTCTCTCTTGTCTGAGGGGCCCAGAGCTACCCCCAGCACTGGAGGTGCCCCAGCAGTGCAAGCACAGGGATGGACACTGCCCTGGCCCTGCTGCCACACTATTGCTGATACAGGTCAGGTGCCACTGGCCTTCTTGGCCATCTGGGCACACCTGGCTCATGTTCAGCCACTGTCAGCCAGCACCCTCATGTCCTTTTCCAGCTTTCCAGCCAATCTGCCTCTAGCCCATAGCACTGCATGGGGTCGAAATGATGATGAAACTAATTATTCCTCTGGGAAAAGAATGATGTCAGTCCATTGTAATTCCAAATTTTCCAAACTGAAAGAAGTTTCTGAATTCTGAAATTAAAACCATTTAAAAAACCATTAAAAAAATGAATTGTGCAATTGCAATCATTTCTGTATTTAACTCGGCTCCTCTCCATTCCCAATTCCCAAAGAATGATACAGCAGTATTACTCTCCCAAAACTGATTCCATTTCTAGGAAATAATTCTAAAAAATGTTGAGGACAGGGAAATTATTTGGCCGGGTCTCATAGTGAGGATGCACAGGTGAACAGTAAGGTGCTTCCATGGAGATAAACAAGAAGATCCTGCCAACCCGTGCTGTGCAAAGACATAAATCCCTTTTTGTGTGCCCATCCCCAGGCTTGACAAGGATCCCAACCGCTTCCCCCAGGTGATTGCTGATGCCCAGTGCCGCCTCTCTGGCTGTGTGAGCCCCCTGGGGCAGGAGGACCACAGCCTCAACTCCGTCCCCATCAAGCAGGAGATCCTGGTCCTGCGGAGGGAGCAGCAGGGCTGCCGGCCCACCTACCGCCTGGAGAAGAAGGTCATCACCGTGGGCTGCACCTGCGTCACTCCAGTCATCCACCACCACTCCTAGGAGGAATTATTAGGGCAGGCCACGCTGGGAAGAAGCAATAAATCCTATAGACACCCCTCTGGTGAAATCCCACAGTCGCCCACTGCGAATCCCAGGAATTCAACACGACATTGCCCTTCCAAGTCTGAACAAATTACCTCTTGAAATTACCTCATGATTCAGCTGTTGTTGCTTGATGGATTTTAGAATGGGAATCACCGGTAGCTGGTGATGGAGGGGAGGGAGAAGGATGGAGAAAAAGCTTTGTTTGTGACCCCAAGCAGTGAGAGGGTAAAGCAGTGCTTTTTTGAATTTATTTTTCATTGTAGTTTTTATCAGTTTGGTGAGTCAAAGGAGTTATATTTTCAAAAGTTGTCCTTGGCAGTAAATTGCCCTAATGAATACATACCTACCAGCACTGCCATAAAAAATTCCTCCTCTTGCACCTTCTCCTTCCCTTACTCATCCCCTACCCCTTTCCCTTCTCTGGCCACCTCTGCTCACTAAGATATTGTCTGTGTCAATCAAATATTTATAATTCTATTTATGTCTTCTATTTATGACTGTATTTATGGCTTTGTGTGTGCTCAGAGTACAAAAAAAAAAGGATAATTTTAACCTGTATTTATTCAATAACTTATCTGCTGAATAAAAAAATCATATTTTATTTAAAAAAAGTTGTTTTGCGGTAGCTCAAAATGAAAGCAGACACAGAGAATCGGTCTGTGCTGCAGTAGCACCAAGAGATTTCAGCAAAGATCAGGCATTTTCTGGTACAGTGATATGAGTAAGAGTGAGCAGAGGAGAATTTGTGGCCTAAATAGATGAAAAGATGCAAAAAAAGAGGCTGAAAGGAGTAAAGGGAGGTTCTATAGGCAACACTGGGGGAGATGGCAATGGAACCAGGTTCTCCAGACCTTGGGGATGGTCTCTGGGGATGGTGGGAAATGAGATGGGAGATATCACATTGCAAGGCTGCAGCTGGAATTTGGGAACCTGGTTCATGAGAGCTGGGAAAGGCCTGTCCTATCGTCTTCCAGACAAGAAGTCATCCTGACAAGCACCCTTCTCCACCAGCTGGATGGCTGGCTGAGCAGAAATGCAAGGAAATACAAGATGGCTTCATCTTGCTGATCTTTAGCCAGCTAAATAATAGGTGCTGGGATTGATGTGGTGGAAGAGGATCCCTCCCCATCAAAGGAACGAGGAGTTGTACCTGCAGGGCAGGATTGTCTGCTGAGCTGGGATGTCCTACTTTCTCTCCCTTAGCTGCACAAGGAGCAGAGACTGAAGGGACTCGCTGTTCAGGAGCTGGACTCGATGTTCCTTGTGTGTCCCTTCCAACTCAGGATATTCTGTGATTCTATAACTATTTATTATTTTATCAAATTGCTGCAACGTTGTTTTTTTTTTGACATTACTTCATCTTTTACCCAGAGCTGAGCCAGACTCTCAGACCTCTGACTTTGATTTCTGTTGGTGGAGGCTTTAAGCCTCTATTTCCTTTTCCCCCTGCATTTAAATCAGGGCAAACCTGTGTGAATGCATTCTCATATTTCATTTTGACTGCACAGAAACCACTTAAAATTAGATCCTCCCCAGAGTAGGTCAGGTGAGTTGTTGGGTCTAAACGACTCAAGGCCAGGTTGGACTCGACCTAGAGCAAGCTGGTCTAGTGGAAAGTTTCCCTGCCCATGGCAAGGGGGTTTGGAACTAGATGATCTTGAAGATCTCTTCTAACCCAAACCATCCTGTGATTCTGTGATTCTATGATTCTGTGATGATTCCTCTGGTGCTTTTCTGTCAAATCAGGTGTATTCTCTGCCCTGTGGGTCGCTGGGAGCTGGTTCGACAGTCCATGGGTAACCATCTCATTCAGTTACAGGCATTTGTACTCATTTGTGGCAGCAGCTGTTTCGTTATGACCACCAAGCTCACCATGTGGTGCAGAGCAAACCCCTGGAGGCGTTTTCTGCTCGCTCTCGTGTATCACCAGCTCTGCTCTTACAGTAACCACTGACCAGGAAATCGTAACCTGGTTCTTGTACCTGACCCATTTCTTTCCCTCTCAATAAACCCACCTCGTGGGGTTGTCCTCACTTGTTTTTCAGAGAGAAAACTACTGTCTATCTCTCAGTCATAATTGCTTTGACATTGCATGTCAAGGTTCATGGCAGCTGAACGGGTGTACTCTCCTGTGCTGATACTCCTAAATATCCATCACCTTACCCTAAGGGTCGTCCTACCTGGATGAATTATGAAGTATCTAATCAAGAAAATACACAAGTAGCTAATTAAGGAAGTCTCACCTGTGGGTCATGAGGTTTTGCAGCCAGAGCTACCAACTGCAAACCACACACCTCTCAGGGAGGCATGTGGGGACTGTTTCTAAACAAAACGAGCATCGGCGGCTGTTTCCTTCTAATGGCATCGTTCTTAGAGTGCAGCTGATTGTAAACATGAGCCTGATTATATTTAAGGTGCTGGCTTTCATTTCCAGCAATCTATTAATTTGAAGGTTGGAACTAGAATGATCTTTGAGGTCCCTTCCAACCCAAACCATTCTGTGATTCTGTGAATCTGAGAACACGGCAAATGAGTTTGTGCTTCTTGTAAACAGCACAGTCATATCACCACCGAGAGCAAGCACAGTTCACAGCTGAGGACCGGCCTTTGCTAAAGACTCTGCTTGTTTTATAACACTTCAGTGACAGATCCAGCCCCTGGCTGTCCAGTTGGGCATCTGTGGCTCTCAGTGTGGCTTAGAGCAGCCTTCAGGGACTTGGCTGTTTCACCAGGAGGAGAAGACACATCTGTAGGTGTAATAGCAGTGCCACAGTGTTTTCTTGTAACCTGCTGGGCTAAGCAACCTCCAGTCACAGGTTGGTATCTGAGCCTCGTGGCCTTTCCTCTTCTGTTTGCCTCTCACTAATCTCCTTTCCGTGTCTCTTGCTCACTGCTCCCCTTGCTGTGCCTGTTCTGGCAGCTCAGGCAGGGATCCTGGTGTAGCAACTCCCATGGGATGCTGGTGCAGAGACCCCTATATTAGCATGGGGGGCACAGCAGTGATCTCTGCTCAGGTAGATGCCTCCTCCCTGACTTGTGCTGTGACCTGTGGATGTATTGACCTGAAAGTGTGAGTCAGGCTTCTTTGGACCCCTGACCACAGGGGTGTTCAAAGGGACTATGGACCAGGGCAACCTGTTACACAGAAAATATTGCTTTTTAAAGTGTACAAAATTAAATATATAAAGAATGCAAAGGTTGCAACCCTAGAGGTTGAAACAACCCAAGAATTATTTGTGTTTGTGTTTGGTAAACCAGAAAAAAAGATTAATGGCTGGAAAACCCAGCAGTCGACATAGTTTATTCAGAGTTAGAGCCTACAGAAGAAACTTTAAGGATATGAGCAATTTTCTGGTCAGTTCTTGGGGATCTGTTGCTTGGTGCCAACATGATGGTTACAGATGATGGGAAGAATTTCTGTATCAGCTCCAAGTTCTGGAGATGGCCCAAGACACCAGACCAGAAACCTGCTCCCATGTCACCATCAGGGGGTAAAACATGAGACTTGTTTTGATCTTCTCTGTGAGGGCGGTGAGACCCTGGCCCAGATTGTCCAGAGAAGCTGTGGCTGCCTTATCCCTGGTAGTGTCCAAGGCCAGGTTGGATTGTGCTTGGAGCAACCTGGGCTAGTGGAAGGTGTCCCTGTCCATGGCAGGGGGTTGGAATAAGTGATCTTTAAGGTTCCTTCCTATCCAAACCATTCTGTAATTCCACAGTCTCCTTTTGTCTCCACCCCCTTCTTCCTCTTTCTTCTTTGATATTATTTTTAACTTTGTGCTTTAGAAGAATCAGGATGAGTGGGCTGAGCCTGCATTTTCTACAACACTGTTACATGACAGTGACAAAGAAAACCCAAACTTGCTTAAAATGTCTGTGATTGTCTGGCGCTACTTGGCAGAGTCAGAGCCATTGGTGGAGGTGGGACTGTGCTGGTGCTGGTTTTCAGGAGCTGAGAAGATGCCAGTCAGATTCAGCACCAGAAACAGACTATACCTTCTGCCATTTGGTGCTCACAAAGAGGAGTTCCAGGAGCTGGACTTTGATTCTCCTTGTGGATCCCTTCCAGCTCAAGATATTCTATGACTAAAAACGTTTTCCATCTTTTCTAATTATTCTCCCTTCTTCCAGGGCTAGATAGTGGTAGCAGGTTCAAATCCTCAGGTCCTCAGAGAAATCCCTTCCTGCTTTCTATGTAACTTTCTAGTTATTTATTATTCCTTCAGAAAAGTGGCTCAGCTTTTCCGCCTTTTCTTGTAACTTCATCATCATCATCATGGCTAGGCTTCATGAACGAAGATTTGGGAAGGGCTCTACCCACGTCTGTTGCAAGCACGCTGGTGGCTAAAAAGGCCAATATGAGATAGACATGTCCGGTTGCAAAAGGCACAGCAGAAAGACTCCTTAGGTGGTAAATTCTGCAAGACACGATTCTTTCTGCGTTGTCTTTTCTCCTCAAGGGTGATCCTGTGTGCGTTCTCAAAGGTATCAGCAGCGTTATAGATGGTGTGTCTCCAGGCCTCCCGACTGGAGGCCAGAGTAGACCAGTTATGTTGATCAATATGGCCAAGGCTGTTTCTGAAACCTATGTTCCTTGGCCTCCTTACTGTTGAACCTGTATCACCTTTTACAAGCATCTGGTTTCTATCCAGATTGCTTTGATGAGTGGCAACGATGAGCCTGGTTTTCTGATCACGTGCTGCACAAAGCCAATCTCAAACTGCCCTTTCTGCTGGGTTTTGCTCACAGGTTGCCAAGCAATCTGTTTACCAAGACACTGCTGCTCAGGTTTTGCAGACTGACACAAAACTGAAACAGGGAGCAGTGGAAACTTTTATGTTGAAGAGGCTTTTGCAGCAATTTCCCCCCCCCCTCCCTCCAATGATGATATCATTTAAGGGCATCAAATTAGCAGAAATTTGCACCGCAACTCTTGAAAACAATAAGGAACAAACTTTACCTGTTGAACCTCAAACTGATAAGAGCTGTGCAAGGGTGAGAGAGGAGCCCTACTCTCCTCAGTCTCCTCTTGTGATCACTACTGATGGTAATCATGAATGTTTGCCCAGAAAAATAAGGACACTGATTAGGTGACCCATGGTA